GAGAGAGAGAGAGAGAGAGAGAGAGTAATAGTGAAGCATAGGCCACTCACGCACATGCACCAACACACCAGACAATAATATCAAAAAAACGCCTATTCATGCCAACAAACAACTAAAACTTGTTCTAAACTGCACAATCCTTGCCAAAACAGTGGATGGAATTTCAATCTTACAATTTCTACTACCTAGTTGCATTGTAGATACAAGTTTCAATACAAATTGACCGAAAATAAAAAAGAGACTGAATTCCACTCTATCTTTGGGCCAGCTTATTTTTGTCATCTCTTCCCCATAAATGATAACATTAGGCCAAAAAAAATTTTATTAAGAAAAAGTTATTATGAAATGCAAAAGTACAGACCTTCAATTTAACATTGGACTTAAAAATCAATGTCTGACATCTTTTATTTCATATGTTACACCTCCCATTATCCGAGTCCACGTTATTGAAAAAAAAAGGACTACTGAGACTCAAGGACCTCCCATAATTTGAGTCTACACTATGAAGAAAAAAAGGATACAGAGATTCAAGGCACATGTAAACCAACTGAGAAAATGGAAATAATATTCTATGAATAGCAGAACCCATGAAAATGACAAAAACTGGGCCATCTAGCTACATTATGTAAAAGAATATGCATTTCAATCTGCAGTGATAATTCACACACTCTATTTCAATGTGATAACAGCATACCATCACAAATAAAGGTGCTTCAGAATGAAGGGAAAAAAAAAGGTTAAGATGTTCTGAACTTACTTGAACATATTGCATGAAAGGAACTGTCTTGCGTAACAACAGGCATACAACTACCTAGCAGCATAAAAACTTAATAAAAACAAGGGCGGGGATCATTTATAATAGCGCTAAATAAAAGTAAAAGTGAGGACTATTTTTAACAATCTGATTGATTTGTAACTGCCTAGATTTATGCTGGTTTTTTGTCTATAACTGTTTTTGTCAGTTTGACATTTTTGTAACTGTCCATGGTGTGCCGATTTAAATAAAGTAGGGAAATAGAAGTTTAGGGAGTTAATTGTTTCAGTTTGGTGGTTATTAGAGAAAAAGGTAGAAAATTGAAAAGAACTTGAGTTCTGATTTCAAAGGGTAAGTACCGGCCAACTCAAGCCGGATAAGTTTTCATTTCAAATAATCTTGTCAGAAAGCATGAGTAAGTCCCGAGTTGATGGGTTTTTTATGGGCAATATCAACTGTCCATTCGAAAATTAATTCTAAGCCATAACCAAATATGCAGTGAAATTACGATTTTTACAAAACGGTACCTTGCTAAAATATCCAGCTAGTAGGTTACAATGGGAGTGATTTGGCTCCAAAAAGGAGAATAACAAATTCATCAACTGCCAAGAAGTAATGCAGTCAGTTCCATCAAAGATTAAAATCAGTAAAAAAGGTTGAGAAAATAAATTCTTGTATCTTACTTCCTCATCTTCTACAAGAGTTTTGAGTATGCTATCAACTTCACATGTAAATATCTCGCAAGCAATAAAAGGAAACCTGTTACAAAACAATAACAATGAAGATGTATCACAATAAAAATACAGCAAAACAGGAATTTAAATCAATCACAAATTTGTGCAACCTACTTAAAAGTCCGCTTCTTTTCAGCATCCTCAGAAGCCTCTTCAACAATATATCGTACCAATTGTTCAACTCGTGATTTGCCTGACAAACTACAATAGATAATATAAAATAGCAATAAGTGTGATATAAAAAACAGAACTAGTGTAGTCAGCCAATAAGAAAATTAGGAAATAATGTCATTCAAAAATAAAGTATGCTGTCAGAAGATAAAAAAATATTCCAGAGTTTATTACATGAAAAACTAAATTTTTCCACCATCAATCTCCTATGGGACGGAATGAACTGTCCACCTAAGCATCCATAGATTTTTCAGTAAGGAAAATAAGAAATTTTATTTACATCTTTATGAAATACATTCTTACTCGAAACAGCTTCTCACTTAAAGGCACTTTCTAGATTTCTTTCATATTTTCAAATTTTGTAATGAACAGATGAAAACTTGTAAAAGTGATTATTTTGTTTAAAAAACTGTAATGCATGGGCTCTAGTTTTTCTACACATATTTTCAGATTGTTAAGACAATACGATAATTTCTTTATCAATCAGAAGAAATTTAGGGTTAAACCAGATGACAGTTTTACAAGTCCTTAAATCAGACAAACAAAACTTATATAATTGCTAACTTTCCAGGTTATGAGAGACTCACAAGTCAACAAATATGGAAACTCAAATCTACACTTTGTTCCCAAATCTAATCTATTAGGATATAGATGCAAAAGTCTGATTTGTTAGAATATAAGGGATCATTTATTGATTTAAGCAAGTATCTTGATCTTGATTATAACATTCTTAGGTCTCACCCCTGATTCAAGAACAATACTGTATAGTCAAAAGTATTTATTCTCAAGTCAGTTAATAATAAACATGTCTGATGAATAATATTATAATTCCCTTCATAGGGATAATTTCTTCAACGGCAGAACAGACCAGTAATCTCTAATAAGAAATAAATCTGATGGTGGAAAAGAAGACCATTAAAAATATATAAGGCGGCTATTGAGAGCCTTGCCCTGATTCAAGAACAATACTGTATAGTCAAAAGTATTTATTCTCAAGTCAGTTAATAATAAACAGGTCTGATGAATAATATTATAATTCCCTTCATAGGGATAATTTCTTCAACGGCAGAACAGACCAGTAATCTCTAATAAGAAATAAATCTGATGGTGGAAAAGAAGACCATTACAAATTTATAAGGCGGCTATTAAGAGCCTTGCATTCTTGAATAATTTCATCCTCATCAAGTAGTTCATCCAAAGTGAAATTCTCCCTATCCAAAATGGTCTCCACCTGCAGGACAATAATACACCAAATAACAGTCAAATCAATCCGCCAAGAGGTATCTAAATTCCATATTAAAAGTTAAATTAAAGAAACATAATGGTATTCCAGCCCCCAAAGAAACATCAATCAATAAATATAATCCGAGTTGCGGAAAATAGCAAAATGCCAAAACTTCCCTATGTGAAAACAGCAGGGTGTTCCGGGAAAATAGTGGAAGTCTCACAGTCAGGGCAGTAGAAATAAGTCAATTAAAGAAAAGACATGCTGCATATAAATAAAAAAGGGAATGGAGGCAAAGAAGATCATACATATTGAAATATTTCTTACTTTGGAGAGTATATGAGTAATACTTACTGACCCTTCACTTTTCCTATTTTAAAAATACGTCATGTGTACATGCAGACTCTAAAGTTTTATTAATTTAAAAGTTCTTTTTTTCCGTTATTGCTGCTACATCCGCTAGCCAAAACTAGCATTGCAGCCACAACTGCCCTATACTGAAATGAGGATAGTGTTGCAGTTTTCATATCACATCCATCAAAATCCACTATGCAATAGCCTCGCCATTTGACAACACTAACATAGAAGTCGGCAGGCTCTAATAACATCCAAACTTCATTCGAGGACAAGGAAAGGTAATTTTAAAGCATTACTTAACCACCCAAGTGAAAGTGACAGACAAGGGAATTCATTTTACAATTTTATGGTTCTCAAATATGCTTCTTCTTATCTATTCCAGAGGACTTCATATCCTCTTAATAGAGTATTTTCCCTATTTTGTCTAATAAATTTATTTTTACAATAGAATATTTTGCTTGCATGTAATTTACTAATCTATGGGGAGGGGGGAAATAAAGATAGTACAAAGGAGTCAAAACTAACACATCTATTACAAATTAAAGCAAGATAAATGATATTTGGAGTATCAAATAACACGTTAGAAATGCATGTGGTAGTGGTGTGTGTTAATTCGATTGTAGGAAATTTTGAGGTTAGGAACTACTACAGCAAATCTGGCAGAGGATGAAAAATCCACCCAAATAGATATCAAAGATGATTGAGCCAATATAACTTAAAAGAAAACCCTCCAAACCTCTTTTGCATATCAATGAAGAAAAAAAACATCTAAAGTAACAAAAAGCATAACACCAAACTGAGGCAAAAAAACAATCCTATTTTCCAAAAAGTTTGGAGAAATGAGTCTATAAAAATGCAAACAATTTCTTAAAACCTCAGTCATACTTGTGCTGGAAAAACCTTCAAGAGAAATTGTTCAAAAGGACAGGTCAGACTCCAACCCACTGTCCTCTGATTAAGACAGGGAAAAGCTTCTAAGAAAAAATACCCACCACCCAAATATCTTTCTAAAATTTGAAATAAGAACTTCGTTACTAAATTTTAATACTGGAATAAACATACAGATTATTGCTAAAATAAAAGTTAACAGAGCAAATCTCCTCATTTATATCCAAACTTTACAACAGAGAAAACCGTGAACAACGTGGATGAAACTAGTACTACTGCAATTCATCTACCCAAAAACAGCAAAGCCTTCCACACTCATTAGTGGCATTCATCTACCCAAAAACAAAACGCATCTTAAACCCTACACACTGCTCCATTCATCATCTATCTATGTACACTTATCCACCATTATTTATCTCAACTACAACTGTTCAAACCATTCAGAACAGAATATCAACTAATAGCAATCTCCTACTTCCGTTAGTTACTACACATAAATTTTAAATAAATAAAAAAATCTCCAAAGCAGATATCAATTACCATCGACTTGATAAAGCAGTAACTACAGACTAAGCCATAATACCAAAACTTGTCGCTGTATAATATAATCAAACAGGTAGGTACAAGCACCAATTAACAAAATCCTAATCTATAAATTAAGGGGAAAGGGACACTGTGGTAACTTCAGAGCAAATCAAATACAACAACACCTCCATTTTCAACATTTTCCCGAGAACCAAACGGAAAATCAAATCCTAGTAAAGACTGCGTCAGAAAAGACACAATTCAGTGTCGTTGAAGCTTAGACGTAAGAAAATGGAGAGAAAATTGAGATTTCCGAACTCACCGGAGACGCGGTGGACAAGCCAGCCATTCGCCAAAACATGTTGAATTATCTGAAGGAAGGGTTCGAATAGAAGAAAAAGAATATGGATCTGGTAAGGGAGAAACCCTGGAAACTAAGCGAATTGAAGGAAATGTTGTAATTGGATGGGAAACCCTAGAATCGGGAACGATGATACTCGGGGAGATCCAATCGAGAGAGAGAAGAACACAACCTTCAATCGCGGGAGAAAGATCGTTTACGAGAGCATTACAACCAGTATAATAAATAAATATCATATACTAGTATTTTCTATAATTTAACTTAAATATAAATATCCTTTTAAAAATAAACTTAAATATAAAAATATTATGCTAGATTAATTTGAATACTACTACTTTTCACTTAAGTCAAACTAGATACTTAATTTTTGTCAATAGGAATATAAATATTTAATGGCAAAAAATATTATCTAATATAGATTAAGTTATTTTAAAATATCAAGTTAGTTTTTTAAATTTCTTTTTTGTAATATTTTGGTCATTTATGTTAAGTATCGTTCGCGTTATTGATCTTTTAAAAAATCTCTGTTATAATAAATTGTAAACGCATAAACCATTTAAACTTTTTTTTGCGCTGATTACGAATATGCAATCAAATTTATTAAACAAGTTACCGTTCATGAGAATCAGAGAAAAAATGTGGACAAATACATAATGAAAAATCGTTCGATCCGACCAAAATATACATTCAAACGCAAATTTAATTACATATTTGTGATCAGCACGAAAAAGCAGTTCAAGTAGTATATGAGTTTGCAATTTATTGTAACGAAGATTTTTAAAAAGGTCAACGACGCAAACGTTACTTAATATAAATGACCAAAGTGTTAAAAAAAAACTTAAAGAACTAACTTAATATTTTAAAATAACTTAAAGAACTAAAACAGTATTTTTGCCATATTTAATTTATTAACTTTTTTATCATGATTATTTTATTGGCAAAATTTATTACATACTAACAAGTTTTTACCACCGCTATAAGTCAGCTATCAGCCCTTCAAAAATTGATTAGATGTCTAAACTAATCTACCCTTTTACTTTTTTGTTTTACACTATAAATTAAACATTTTCATAACTAACTAAAGACTCAATTAAATCATCTTAACACATCCTTCATATTGTCATTTGTCATGCCACTGTTGGATAGCAGAACAACAAAAATTTTCCCCCTTTTTACAAAACCACTTCACACGCTACATACATCTACCTTAAAAATCTGAGCTCAAAAACTTCGCCTCTTCATTTATCTGTCTTTCATTGCAGATAACACTCTTTGCATTTCCAGCGTCACAACATCATCTCTTCATTTCACTCAGTTTCACTATAGCTCATCTATTTCGCTCAGGCGCAAGAACTTCATTTTTCCAGGGTTTTTTATTTTAATTGTCATATTGTGTTGTTACAAATGCTCATGTTGTTGGTTGTTCTTTGTTCTTTGTTAATTGTGTTGTTTTCTTCCGTTGAACCACAACAATAAAAAAACTATATTTTCATTGTGGCTGCCATATCCAAACATGTTAATCTTTTTATTTCATCTGCTCCCATTTTTTGTTCTTTTTTATGTTGCAACTCATATCAAAAAAATATTTTTTTCTACCATTTATTGTGTCATTCCATGTTGCTATTTTTTATGTTGAAGAAAATGTTCATCGTGTTCATTTACTGGCTTTTTCATATTCTTTGTTGTTTTCATGTACCATGCACATGTTGATTTTCTTCACATAACCACAACAATGATTATCATGTACTGTGACATGTTCTTAGACTGATTCTCATGGACTACGGTGTATTCTTAACCACAATAATGATTTTCATATGCTACCGTGTTGTTTTCATCTGCTTGAAAATTAGAATATGACACACTCTTATGCATTTTGTGTTGTACATGACATGTGTTGAAAATTATTATGTTGTAATAGGATGGTGTCTCATAATGTAACAATCTTAAATTTTTGTCAGATTTTTAGGCAAACACGTCAAGACCACCGATTCTAATCAAGGATTTGGTTCAAGGTAATCAGATGTGGAAAATGCTAATTCGTGTTGTTGATCTTTGGGTTGTTAAAGAGAAAAGTGAACTGCAACATCTCGGAATGGTCACACAAGATGCAAAGATAATCATTTTTCATTTCCAAGATTTTCAATTTTTAACTTGGTATTCCTTTAAACCATTTATGTCATCATTATAGGGTGACCAAATTCACGTGACAACTCGAAATCGAGAGTTTAACGATTGGATTGCACAACTTGAGAAACATGAAACTTACTGTCTTTACAATGGAGATTCAATAGTTAATGACGACACTTTTAAACTACACCCCAACAAGCTCAAACTTGTATTCAACAGAGGAATCACGGTTACTAGAATGTCACTATCTGAAATACCTACACACCAACTCCAGTTTAAGCCTATAGTTGATTTTCTTACTGGAAAATTCAGCAATGATCTCTTATATGGTGAGCTTTTTTTAATCTTTGCATAATATTTGTTTTCCATTATTTTCATTCTTAATGAACCACATCATTACCTTATGATTTCTTTCCTACTTTAGATGTCATAGGTGTTCTCCAAGATGTCGTGAATACGCAAATGGGTGGTGGTGGAAAGAAATCGTGTGTCAATATAAATCTTCGCGATGAAGCTGGAAATGTCATTGAGGTTGCATTATGGGACGACTATGCTAAAAACTTATTGAACAATAATGTCTCAAACAACTCTCCTGGCTCAACAATCCTCATTTTAACACATGCTTGGTGTAAGCAGAATCAAGGTTTGATCTTTTTTCCTTATGTGTTACAATAACTTTCGGTTTTTGTTGTATTAGGCCTTCTCATGTTTAACTACATTTCAATATGTGACAAGTAGCATCTAGATTGCCTAGCCTATCAAATGCTTGGAATGGATCAAAGATTCATGTTAACTTAGATCATCCACAAGTTTAGGCATTCAAATATTTGTATTATACTTTCATTATCAATATGCTTTTCTTTTCTACCTTACAATATACATTTTTATGTTCGTATGGGACGATTACATTCATATCCTAAACCATATTTATGTTTTGGAACAAGTTAGCATCTACAAAATCCACCAAACTTCATATTCATTTGTACAATCTAGCAACAAAAAATGGACACACTTAAGTGAGGTCAAAACTATCTGAAAAATATGTGAACTCTGAAAGGTATGTTGTAGTATTTATCATGATTCAAGTTATTGTGATTATCATTTGTTTACTGACATATAAAGGGACTAATATAAGATTGTTTTGCCACAAATATTGGTACTACCAAACGATTTAAAGCCTCCAAATTTGGATGGTTCTTTGAGGCGTGTCCAAATTACAAGTTATCGAACAAGTCACATGGAACAAAATTTGAATGTGCTTGTGGTGTTAGGGGTGTTGAACCTATTTCAAAATAAGACTTCCATTTCATTTCCATTATTCTTTGTAGTAGATATGTTGCTCTTTAATTTATATCTACCAATGTTGATTTTCTGTTAGATACAAGATTGGAGTCGAAGTCGAATATGATAACCACATGGGATGCTTTATTTTTTGGGATAAATATTGTATCCCATTCATTAATTTAACTGCTAAGGAGTTGAGACAAGTCATGAAGGAGGTACTCACAAATGCAATTTTCATTGTTTCCTTGCAATTTTCATTGTTAGTTAACTACATTCCAATGAATAATCTCATTATTCATCTAGGATGGAGAGGATAACCCAAAGATCTATCCAACACATCTAGATGCTCTTTTGAACCAGGAACTAGCTTTTAGAACAAAGTTCCAGTCACAATATGGTCAATTCTCAATCATTATCATACTTAATGAGCCTAGTGTTTACAAAAGCTTAGACGAACTGCTTAAACCATGTGAGGTACACGCCATTTAGATGTGCATTGTTTTATTTATGCATTAATATTAAGTTCATTTGATAAACTGATAATTGTACGCTTATTATACCAGCATTCTTCAAAAACACCACTTTTGAAAATGGACACAAATCTTGGAGGGGACCTCCATATTGATGTAATTGTATGGAAAAACTCTTGGTCTTAAATATGTTTATATATGAATTCACTAAATTTAATTTTGATGTCCCCTTAAATTGCTAATGGAATTTGTAGGCAAGTCAATCAAATGATCAAGGTAGTGTCATTCCCACCAATTATGCCAAGAGTGATTCCAGTCCATCGACATGCTCTGACAACACCCTGCTAAGAGGGTTGTTGTCCCAACTACTCTAGATGACATCTTACAAGATAAAGTCCTAACTCCACGACAATCTGCTACAAAGTTTAAGCACATCAAGAAGGAGTGATTGATATATGGTATTAATCTGAACAATCTTTTGATTACTACATAGATGTAATGTTAACAACATTATTAACTACCTTTAAATAATGGTTGTATTGTGAGATGGTTTGTTAATCTATGCAAACAATGTGTTGAAAAATACAAGCATGATAAATCAAGTAATTATATACATTTTTTGAGTTTCTATAGTTAGATTTCATGTTCCTCATGGAAGACTATGTTGATTTGTTCTTGTCAATATTTCTTATGTGGTTCTGTGGTAGACCATTTCTTGTGGCAGACCATTTCTTATGTTGAATTATATATTGTAATTGATTATGTGGTTTAGTTGGTTTGAGATGAAGTTTTTATTTACTTTTTTCGTGTATGTGGTTCTTGCGTGTAGTTTGTTCAACATGAATTAACATAATTAGACATTACCTACTGTAATTGCAAGACAGATTTTGGGCAATTGTAGAGCATCGATTTGTCTCGAAACTTAATATATATTTTATTTAAAAGTATCATGCATTGAAGTTGATGTTATTATATTGGAAAAAAATATTGTTTTAGTCCTTTAAGTTATTTTAAAATATCAAGTTAATCCTTTAAGTATTTTTTGTAACGTTTTGGTCCTTTATGTTATGTAACGTTTGCGTCGTTGACCTTTTTAAAAATTTATGTTACAATAAATTG